CTTTCACTTTCGAGATTCGCGATCACACGGACTCTATACTACGGAGCGGCAGTACCTACCACACATTTTAAAGATTAGATATTTGTCAGTGGTGCTCAGTATCTGCAAATCATTCGCTATTGCCCTATCAGTCATCTCTCCTTACTCTGTGCATGTGATAAGTAAACTTTCATGTACTGTAATGTAATAGTTTACCGCTAGCAAGCGGCTAACCATGTCCCTTTAGTGGCTCCGTAGAACGCGTTATTTGTTTTCCATGCCTTTCTGCTTATGGATTCACGCTTCGGGCACACTCCCTAACCCCGCCCCCCGATATCATCGTCCATCACAATGTTTCACTGTAGACATCGTCCGATGCCAATTTGGTAGACATCGCCCAACCCTACTATACGGCAGTACCATACCACACATCTGCAAATTATTCGCCATTGTCCTATCAGTCGTCTCTCCTTACTCTGTGTATGTGGTAAGTGATATGTACTGTAATGTAATAGTCTACCGCTAGCAAGCGGCTAACCATGTCCCTTTAGTGGCTCCGTAGAACGTGTTATTTGTTTTCCATGCCTTTCTGCATACGGATTCATGCTTCGGGCACACCCCCTAACCCCGCCCCCCGATATCATCGTCCATCACAATGTTTCACTGTAGACATTGTCCAATGGCAATTTGGTAGACATCGCCCAACCCTACTTCAGGCATTTTCTTTTCCTCTTATCTCCATTTAATGCCTGTTAAAGTAGTGTTTATGAGTGCAGCGCTGCTTTGTTTACAGCAGCAACCAAGGAAATGCTATATCGCTGCCGTTCCATAAGCACCACCTACTGTCAGAGGGTGAATTTGCATTTTCATTCAGTTGTCTGCCATTTTTGTTTTCTGCAGGTGTCTTATGTTGCATGTGCGTAGCATCTTTATTTGGATCGTGACTAAAATGCAATGGTTGCCTTTAATTTCAAATGGCTACAGATACTTTGTAATTTGCTTGTTATAGAGCAAATAAACAACAAATAAACTGGCTCAAACAAAGGAAAAAAAATCGGAATCGGCCATGAAAAATCATGATCGGTGCATCACTATCTAGAATCCACCTGGTAATGGCCTAGCAATCACCCAGAACATTTTAGAATGTTGTTTTTCAAAAACACCCTAGAAACCCACATTTTCAGAACTCTGATGAATCATTACATTTATTACAATGTAAATAAGGAAAAAAAAAAAGTTGGAGTCTGATTTAAAGTAGCGTTTTAAACCTTAAGAGTATTTAGGGACTAAATAATATTATAGACATCTCTCACTTTGCAACTACATAGTAATGCCCTACATAGCATTTTGAAGGCGAAGCACTCATAATTTCTTCTAAAAATGTATATATCTAGCTAAATAATATTATTTTTCTCCACCCACATGGTTGCATTAGTATAAAAGTAGTTTAAAAAAATGCAAAACGTTTTGTGTTTACAACAATTATTTGCAGTCAAGTGTATGTGGGCTGCACCTGACTGAGACGCTGGGGTCATGCGTCACACCGCAGGTCATGGTGGCTTTTGTTCCTTTGATGACGCTCTGATCCTGAGGAGGATTAGAGATGCGTGTACGTGCTGTTCGATAAAACAAAGGAAATGCACATCAGTATATGCACAGGTGTATGACACAAACATGCAAACAGACTTAAATATGGACATCAAAAAGAACAAAGATATCCTGTGATCTATACACTTCAAAACACACACACACACACACACACACACACACACACACACAAACACACTCACCCCAGACCACGAGGTCGGCCGAGGCCTCGTCTATGCCACGGGAGTTGCTGGCCATACAGGTGTAGGTACCGGCGTCTGATATGTGGGAGGGGCTTATGAGTAAACTTCCTGACTCCAGGAGAGTGAACCGCGGGAGCTGAACCGAACCGCTTGCTAGCACACGTTCTCCTGTGGAGAACACATACCCAGATATAATATGTAAAAGATATAATATGTAAAAAGTGCCATTTTGTTATTGGCTTTAAACCAAGATGCAAGACAAAAATAAAGCCTATATAAAAAGTTAAAAATAAAAATCAAGTTGCATGACACACATAAAGCCTATAATAAAGGAATTTGAACTATTATTTCAAAATGCTATTTAAAATTATATGATTTATTAAATAAAACTATATTATATTATTAAAATTGATATTATATTATATTATATAAACTGATAGAACACAAAATCTCTCTTTTTAAAGGATTATTTTATTGTTAAAGGGGAATTAAAAATTCTGTCAAGGGTATTGAGTGAAGGTTTCAAGCTTCAGAAAGGACATAAATGCACTATGAAAGTATAATAAAGGTGGTCAATATGACTCATGTACTATATTCCAAGTCTGAAGTCATGCTGTAGTTTTGTGTGAGAAACTGACTGAATTTTAAGTTATGAACTGAATATTCCTCTCCAGTGAGCTGTAACTGATTAATTGAAAAGATTTGACTCGAATGAATGATTTGTTTACTAATCAGACATCGCTACTCTCTCATGAACACACCAAAAGAGCTAGGGCGATTTTTCATTTGAAAAAAATGACTTAAATTTGGGTCTACTGCTCACACAATGCTATCAGAGCACTTGGACTAAAGTGTAAGGAGTCATATGGACTACTTTTCATGCTGCAACAGACGGGTGAGTAAACAATGACAGAATTTTCATTTTTGGGTGAACTAATCCTTTAAAGCCACAAGCACGCTTGTTTACTATCCTTCTGTTCTGGCATGAAATGTAAAGCACGGTGCTGGGGATGGACATTCTCCTCTAATTTGTAGAGGATCTAATCTTCTATACAAATATTCCTTACAAAATCTTAATTTTGTGGTAACAAATATCTTATATTTCAGATGGTTCTGGTTAAAGATGTATTTGAAGCTTCGATGACTTTGAAGCTTGGCAAGACTTCTTTTTAAAACATTATAAAATCTTGCAGACCTCAAATTTTTGAACTGTATTGTACATACATTCAAGATTTTTAAATGTAGATTTGCATAATTGTAGCCTATGTCGAATCACAGAATCAGTTTCATGCCTGATGACATCCGAAGAGTATAACATGTCATGGCGACATTGCAGCAAAACAGTGCAATAGAGTGGCAGAAAATAACCAGCCAGAGCAGGTAAAACAGAGGAACAGAGAGGCGCAGAGGTGAAGTGCAGCCTGGGAGCTGACACTTTGTAGTTGATCTTCTGAAATGTGTGAGTGTAGACAATGAAGGATGTGTTGTTCACCTTTCTGCCAGGTGATGGCAGGACGGGGCGCTCCTGAGGTCTCACAGTGAAGGATAACTGACATGCCGTCAATCACAGTGCTGTCGGAAGGCCCTGCCGTGATGTTCGGTGCTATACCTGTGAGAGAAGCACAGCAACTGCATGAGAAACAGAGATGTATAATGGCACACGCAAGTTCAAACACCTCCTCGCATTCGCAAGCACTGGGAAATCACACAAAACTCGATTCACGCGGATCAAAGCGCAGCTTAGAAACCAAACAAGTAAAGAAAACAATGGAATGAAAGCAGGTATGAAACTAAAAGATGAACAACAGAAGAAAAACAATTCACTGGGAAACGTAGACAAGCAAGTTAAATTGGGATTTTGGAGGTGGGCGAACAAACAGTTCCTCACAACTTAATACTTAAAGGAATAATTCACGCCAAAATTAAAATTGCGTCATTATTGATTCACTCTCATTTCATTCGAAACCGGTATGACATACTTTTTTCTGTAGAGAACAAAACATAACATTTCATTGTCCAATGTTGTTTTGGACCCCATTGACTTTCACAGTTTGGACAAAGATAGCTCCTCAACATATAATCTTTTGTGTTCCACAGAGTAAAGCCATATAGGTTTGGAATGACATGAACTTGAGGTAAAGTATGGCAAGATTTTCATTTTGGATAAACTACCTTTAACTTTAGTACCGTCCATGTCCAGTATCTGCGTTCATTGTAAGCAGAGGTAAATAGCAGCTAGCTTTGGCGTTTTGTGTTTTAGAGAGCTCTATGTGTCTCTGAGCGGCAAGATAAGCTCAGTCAGTCCTCTATAAAAGCCCTCTTTATCTCTCCCTGTCTCTCTGACGGTCTCTCTCCTCCTCACAACTCTTCCTCACAACAGGGTATTAATCACAGCTTTAGCACACCGACAAAAAGCACATCAGCGACACGAGAGAGAATGAAGACTGGGAGAAAGAAAGACAGGAAGGTATTGTTGGTATGGCATTCAAAGCCTTTTTGATTGCAAGAGAAAGAGATCGAGAGAGAGGTAGAAGAAATAAACGTCCACATGTATTTGTGCATTAGTTTATGAGAGCATGAGAGGCAGAAAGAGGAAAGGTGTAATCCGGAGAGTGGGACGGGCGGATGAACTCACTCGTAACGGCGAGGTAGGTGGTGGTCTGCACCTCTCAGGGCTTATGGGTACCGCGTCCTTGTACCACACAATATCAGGCTGTGGCACACCTGAGATGAATAGGAATGTAAAGGTGACCAACTGAATAAAGAAAGAACTGAATAATAAGATATATAAAATAATATAAATTAAACAATATGATAAATATTAAATATAATTATTTAATAATAATTTAAATTATATTAAAATATTATAATACATATATAATATATTACATTTATACATACAAATAAATAAAGATAGTATAATGTATTTATTTTTATTTTATTTATTATGTAAGAACAAATAATTTATTAATAATTAATAAATTAATTAATAAAAAAATAAACATTGTATATAAACTATTTAGATTAAAATATATATCAATCAAATATACATTTTATATATTATTATAAAAATACTGTATAAAAATATAACACACACATATATAAAAATGTATAATTTATGTATAATAATTTATTAATAATTAACAAAATAAATAGGACTGCTGTTGGATTTTTGAGAACATCCTGTTCAAGTTAATTTTTTTGGTTTTACTCTGACAACAGAACATTTCCATAGAGACAGAGATAGAAAAATGTCCCTAAAGGAAACATACACTGTAAATAGTAACTAGTTACATTTAAAATTCCTAGTTGGCTTACTAAACGTTTTGCTGTTCAAAAGAACAAAAATTGTATGTATTGTTTTAAGCATTATTTTATTTATTTATTTTTAATGCATTTTTGCTAAATAGTAGTCGGCAAAAATAAACATCTGTATTTATTCTCTTGGAAATCAAACCCAAAACCTTGTCATTGCTAACATCATCAGTGCTACCATTTGAGCTATAGGCAAACTGCATGACTAAAATGCAACATCTTTATTTATTTAACACGACTTTCTGTTAATTTGGCTTCAAAAAGTGAATCAGTGAGAGGTGCAAAGTTCCTTTACTTCTGCTCATGCTCATTGGCTTCAACATGTCCACTGTTGCTCAGTGAATATAGATTTTTGTGCTGAATTTAATAGGTTGACTCAGCACACTGATTATAATGAGCAGAATTTTAGTCTGAACATTATTTATTCATTTATTTATTTTTACAGTGGAACATTTGTATATCAGCACTTATTTAGTATTCAATATCTGCCACGATAAACAACAACTGCTGCAAAAATATAGAATATGACACTTAAAATGTCATTCATGGATTTCTAATGCACTTGAGGATAATTTACACTCAAATTTACAACTAGTATTACCGAGCACATGTAGGTACGCTCCATTTAATTATGCTAATGTTTGGTATTTTATTTCTTGAATGTGAATTTGTTTTCCCTGTTTTTAGTGTGTAATATGTTTTTAAAGCACTTTGTAAATACTATTTTAAAAGCTGTATACAGTTTCTTGTCTTTTGTAAGTGACAGCATGCCATGGATTCTGTCAGTAAAGCTTGAGAACTGAAACATTCATTCACTACTTTTGAAGTTCATAGTGAGATGTTCATAAAAACCAAAAACATAACACTAAGTTTTCAATGGAGTCTGTACGTTACATTAAATAACTATAAAAAAAAGTGGTGAGAAAAAGAATAAAAAGTATGACAGTCTTCAGCCCACTGCTCGCCTTTTAATCACCATAATTAAAATCCTTTTCCTTTCATTCAAATTATGAAGGAATCAGAGGTTGGTCACCTAGCGTTGGCCACACACTCCATGGTGATCTCAGAGGTGCCGGAGATGACGCTGGTGTTCCTCGGCGGGATGACAATGGTGGGAGCGATGGGGTCTGCAGGACCACCAACATCTACAGCAGAAGAGAAATGTGAGAATGAGAAAACGATGAGAGCTTGAACAAGTGAGTTATGATACACAGGTAAAGGACATTATCGAGTGAGTGTTTTTAATAGAACTCTGATCTGTCATCTTCAGGTGTGAGTGTGTCCAGATGTAGGAAGTGCCAGCCGATGTACTGTACGTGTTACAGCAAGTGTGACAGATTTGTGTTTGGAAGAGGAACTTATATCCCTGCTCTCCTGGCAGCTATGTGTGCGTGTGTGTGTGTATGTGTGTGTGTGTGTGTGTGTAGCTCTGTCAGAGACAGTCTCTGTAAAGCACTGATATTCAACTACAGCTTCTGGGAAGGACTGTCCTCTACACACACACACACACCTCCCACGATCTCTAATCTCCTCGCTGTCTCTGCACCATACTTTAGTTCCTCCTATATTAGACTCAAAAATATCATATCCTGGTTTGCCGGGAGAATCTGACATACTGAAACTCTTGCAAAGTACAATCCATAACTGTCAATATTCTCGCTGTGGAAACTGTGAGAGTGAAACAAAGCACTGTCACAGACAGAAGACAACCATGTATTTGTCTATAGCCTGTTTTTCTCAGGTTTACATGTTCATATAAACCAGCATGTTGTCTAAAATAAAAAGACAAGATTGAAATCTTTGCTTCATTTACTTCCATTCTTTCGCATATAAATGTGGGAGATTGAGAACAGAAGTATATGCATAAATATTTAATATTTCACTGTATACTAAGAGTCACGTTCAGAAATTACACACATCATTTTAAAAATTAATAAATAAACACATTTATTAGAATTAATATATTAGCACAAAATTGGTGTTTTTTATGTATTTAAAAATAATTTAAGTTAAATTAATTATTTGAAAAACGTACAACAAACTTTATTGATGTTACTTTGAAATATGGATTCAATTTATATATTTTCATAGCAGATATGAAATAGAAATATATACATCTTTTCAAACTGTTTTAGTTTTTAGTGGGTTCTAGTGTTTTTTTCAACCCAGTCTCATAAAAATACGTACCTCTGGGTGCTTTTCTGCAACACCGTTTTTACGTACCTTACTGCACGTTTCGCCGCAGTTTCAAAGAGAAATGTCCACTGAGTGGCGCTAAAACACGGGTTCAATACGTGAACCCTGGCACGTTTTTATTACCTTGATAAAGGTACGTATTGCTGTGTTTTTATTACGTTTCTTCAGGTACGTATTGCGGCGATTCAGAATTCAAATATCCGGGGACTGTCGCTAAAAGTTAATGCTCTATCGTGTTGGAAATATGCCCTACACCAAACCCAACCCTAAACCTACCCGATAGTGTTAACAAATGCAAAACTGATATAAAAACGCATTTGTTGATGCAACTGTGTCATTTGAACTTACTTATATGCAGATTTGAACCGTTTTGTCGAACCATAGTTACACAGGATTCGAGCCGGAGCTCCTCGCCTCTCAAGTACGTCTCCGCACTCCGTACTCCGTGAGCTACCGAACAAACCTACCGTCGATGAAAACCCATTGATATGAAGCTGGATATGTGCTGTGCTAATGTTCAAAAGCATCAGTTTTCAAATCTCACAGCATATTAAAATTGTTTTGATATGTCACAACATAATACTCTTCAAGTAATTGTGCGAAAATTACGCTTTATTAATCAAAACTCTGTAAATGTGTGTACAAAGGAATAAAAGGTGTCGGAGTTTTACTGCCTCTAGTGTTCATTTCTTTTGGAAACTGCAGTGATATGTACTTATTGGTACATATTTCACGTCTCGCGAAAATGTGCCCCCGGGTACGTTTTTGCCATGAGACCAGGTTGAAAATACGGCATGCAGGACAATGGTGGGAGCGATGGGGTCTGCAGGACCACCAACATCTACAGCAGAAGAGAAATGTGAGAATGAGAAAACGATGAGAGCTTGAACAAGTGAGTTATGATACACAGGTAAAGGACATTATCGAGTGAGTGTTTTTAATAGAACTCTGATCTGTCATCTTCAGGTGTGAGTGTGTCCAGATGTAGGAAGTGCCAGCCGATGTACTGTACGTGTTACAGCAAGTGTGACAGATTTGTGTTTGGAAGAGGAACTTATATCCCTGCTCTCCTGGCAGCTATGTGTGCGTGTGTGTGTGTATGTGTGTGTGTGTGTGTGTGTAGCTCTGTCAGAGACAGTCTCTGTAAAGCACTGATATTCAACTACAGCTTCTGGGAAGGACTGTCCTCTACACACACACACACACCTCCCACGATCTCTAATCTCCTCGCTGTCTCTGCACCATACTTTAGTTCCTCCTATATTAGACTCAAAAATATCATATCCTGGTTTGCCGGGAGAATCTGACATACTGAAACTCTTGCAAAGTACAATCCATAACTGTCAATATTCTCGCTGTGGAAACTGTGAGAGTGAAACAAAGCACTGTCACAGACAGAAGACAACCATGTATTTGTCTATAGCCTGTTTTTCTCAGGTTTACATGTTCATATAAACCAGCATGTTGTCTAAAATAAAAAGACAAGATTGAAATCTTTGCTTCATTTACTTCCATTCTTTCGCATATAAATGTGGGAGATTGAGAACAGAAGTATATGCATAAATATTTAATATTTCACTGTATACTAAGAGTCACGTTCAGAAATTACACACATCATTTTAAAAATTAATAAATAAACACATTTATTAGAATTAATATATTAGCACAAAATTGGTGTTTTTTATGTATTTAAAAATAATTTAAGTTAAATTAATTATTTGAAAAACGTACAACAAACTTTATTGATGTTACTTTGAAATATGGATTCAATTTATATATTTTCATAGCAGATATGAAATAGAAATATATACATCTTTTCAAACTGTTTTAGTTTTTAGTGGGTTCTAGTGTTTTTTTCAACCCAGTCTCATAAAAATACGTACCTCTGGGTGCTTTTCTGCAACACCGTTTTTACGTACCTTACTGCACGTTTCGCCGCAGTTTCAAAGAGAAATGTCCACTGAGTGGCGCTAAAACACGGGTTCAATACGTGAACCCTGGCACGTTTTTATTACCTTGATAAAGGTACGTATTGCTGTGTTTTTATTACGTTTCTTCAGGTACGTATTGCGGCGATTCAGAATTCAAATATCCGGGGACTGTCGCTAAAAGTTAATGCTCTATCGTGTTGGAAATATGCCCTACACCAAACCCAACCCTAAACCTACCCGATAGTGTTAACAAATGCAAAACTGATATAAAAACGCATTTGTTGATGCAACTGTGTCATTTGAACTTACTTATATGCAGATTTGAACCGTTTTGTCGAACCATAGTTACACAGGATTCGAGCCGGAGCTCCTCGCCTCTCAAGTACGTCTCCGCACTCCGTACTCCGTGAGCTACCGAACAAACCTACCGTCGATGAAAACCTACCATAGATGAAAACCCATTGGTATGAAGCTGGATATGTGCGGTGCTAACAATCAAAAGCATCAGTTTTCAAATCTCCCAGCATATTAAAATTGTTTTGAAGTCACAACATAATACTCTTCAAGTAATTGTGCGAAAATTACGCTTTATTAATCGAAACTCTGTAAATCATACTCTGTGTGAAAATAATTTAAAAGGTTTCAGAGTTTTACTGCCTCTAGTGTTCATTTCTTTTGGAAACTGCAGTGATATGTACTTATTGGTACGTATTTCGCATCTCGCGAAAATGTACCCCCGGGTACGTTTTTGCCATGAGACCAGGTTGGTTTTTATATATATAAAAAAAAATAAAAAAAAATAAAATGAAAATGAAAATATAATAAAATAAAATGAAAATATTTTTTGATAAAAGCGTCTGCTAAATGACTAAATGTAAATGTAAATA